TTTTCACAAAATATGTCACAAAACTTAAACTTTCTCTTAATAACACTTATTAAAAGTGTCTGCCAACATATTTCATAATTGCTTATAAATTCAACGTTCTGCTTGTATTGCAGAATATTAAGTCTTGTACGAGGAGCACTGCGCATGCGTTTGTCAGAGAAAAATAGAAACATGCAAGCTAGCATGGCGCTAGTTTAAATCCCGTAAAATGTGTCCATATACAACAAAATAAATGGAACAGTATAGTCCCGCGAATATCTTTATTTTTTGCCCGATTAAAGCATTTATAGCACTAATTTCCTGTCTCCTGTGTATGAAATATATGGCAATAGTTCCTTTAATCTTTGAGTAAACTATAGGATTAACATGTTATATAGCTGAACATGATTTATTGCAGTAATAAAAGGCGACGGAAAACATACAACCGAGAATAAATTCTAGCTGTACTGTCCTATGCGTCAGTAGGCATGTCCAACATAGCGAGGTCTCCTTTTAGTCCCGTCTCTCCTTCATCACCTTTCATTCCCGTCTCGCCTCCAAGATATTTGCGTAAAAATCATGTCGACACAGAAGTATATTACTTTCTGTTCCGATGCTTTTCCGTAAACCTTTGCATTAGTGCTCACACACTAGAGAATGGACAAATTGGACCTGCATTATGTTATACATTGATTTTTCAAGAAATTGTCGGAGGCATTGTGTAATGTTAGCTATTCAAAAGAATTTTATTACTCTCCTTTACGTTCCTTGCCGAATAGATTGCTTTGTGGCGATGCTCTTTTCAGCGAGTACAAGGTTAACCTTTCCGCAGCATCTTTACAGTGCGAAGACCGTTAAGTTGGAAGATGTGGTCAAGTTGGGTTACTGGGACAATTTCTGTGCAACAGTATTTGCAATCCAAAAAAGTTAGCTTGTTTCGACTGATGAATATCTGCAAATATACAATGGCGTTTATTATAAAAAATAATGACAACTATACAATACATTATACATTAAACATTTTATCACAGTTCGTCATACGGTGAGAACAAAATAGACATACATTTTACCACGCCGAAACAGGCATTATGTAGCATGTATTATGTCTATTCTAGTTTGTGACATTACGGACGGCTGTGTTTTGACCAGAACGGGGGAGATTCGTTTCACATTGCTTGTCGTCCATATTCAAAGCAATATGAGTGATAAAGTCTTATTAAATTATTCGTTGTCGGTGTCCTCAAAACAATGTCCACTGTCCATGCTAGCTTGTGTGCTTAGTGTACCATCTAAATCGCACCAATACAACCAGCATATCATTTAACCGAGCAAACGGTATGCCACACACTACCGCATTTGAGAGCAAAATAGACATACATTTTACCACGCCGAAACAAGCAAAAACACAGGTAACCTAAGAATAGATGATTGATCACAAACAAGGATTTGTGAGAATAACGACAAAAAAAGTTTATTTTCTTAATGGCACCATTGTTTTAAGCTTTCACATTTCTCGCTAACCTTCGGAAGGACAATCTACATTGATTATAACAACGGAAACGACAAAAAAAGTACAGTCTTTTTTTTCAAATTGATGAGGTCAGTTACAAAGCCAGACGAGTGTTGGCGAAGTAACTACCACGGAGGCAAAGGTCATTACGTCACCAAGTAATCACCGACATTAAAGCTGGCCTGTAATAGTCTCTCTAACGCATCGCCATTCTATAGGCACTTGTGGATACGTGGACAGAACGAACGCATTGCAGTCTCCCACAGAGAAATAGACATGGTTATAGCTGTCTACGAGCATCCATGTTTGGTCTAAACATGGAACCAGTGACCCTGCGGGCATGTCCGAGTCAGATTACCTAAGGTGTTGTACATCCTGTATGTCACGTGTTCTGTGAACGTACGCCGATTCTGACATGGTCATAGGTTAGCAATAAGAATGTCAGGCAAAATTCAACCTTCTCTGTCCAACCAAGTGATTATAAGAGGTGTCGGTATATGGTACATTTTACGGCCTCCTCTATAGAATCTGGGATTTTCCTCTCCCAACCGGACATAGGCAGCTGACTACAATTCTCTAAGTTTTTTGCAAAGAATCTTCCAGCTGCATTTTTCTACTAGCTTATCTCCCCCTGGATTGAAACTTATGTTCAGTTATTTAAGTGATCAAAATTATTAGGGTTTTTTCTCTTAAGAATAAAAAAAAATGAAGCCCATTATTGTCACACAAGTGATCAACCATTTACAGTAAAACATTTTATGAATGAACTCACTGACTTCAGACAATTTTGTGAAATATTCTTTAATGTGCCATATATGAAAAGTTTTATTTCTGTGCAATCAATATATAATTATATACACTCAATTTATCCATTTAATAAGATAATTTTTACAACCAAATCGTTCCCTGTTGACGTATTTTTACAGCTTTTTAATCTTTTTTTTTCATTTCTAGTTCGAGATAGTTTTGTTTATATCTATTTTTCAGGTGGCTTGTGCCCAAAATTACTTACATTTTCGAAGGGCCGTTCATGTTAATGGGATATTGAAGAAACCAAGGGGATTGTTATCTTTGGAAAATCTTACAAAGCAAGCTATGTGAGTTCCTTTCTCTGTGGTGGTTTTACTTTCCATGTAGTTTTATGACAACAATCATCCTTTGAACAATATATCTTTTGCCAACCTTATAGAAAGTATTTTATGCAGTTCTTATTTTACTAATGTTTGTAGATTCAGGATGAGCGCAAAATTCAGTTTTAACAATTTAGTGTCACATGTACGAATTTTCTCAAAGAGTATCCGGTGCTAACCCGCACCGCTCCTGGTGTCTCATAGGAGCAAGAAAACAAAAAGCATTAAATGATGCAAGACTTGTTTGGTTAAGAGCGCAAGAACTTCATCCCACAAATTTGAGAAAACACGTCATTTTAAATATCATGCAAGCCTGGGTATTATCAACCGAACTGCTATTTCATTCGGGTATATCATGATGTCTTGATGCACTGCAATCTTTTGTATACCGAGTTCATGTCATGTTAGAGAGTTCTAATAGAAACGTCATAAATGTATACATTAAGTTACTTGTTTAGAACATTCCTGTTTTATCAAGGCCCCGCCATCTTCTTTCTGAGTCTTTCTTCGTGATATTTTTTATTCTATAATATCGCATTCACATCTTATTTGAAGCTAATTGTGACATTTTCATAATCACCTAACCACTTGTTAGTGGACTAAGGAGTGTGTTCGAAATCCTTTAGATTATAATAATTTAGATCACATCAATCGAACAATATTCTGTGATGTTTTCTCTGTTCGTCGAGTGAATTGCTCCCCGCGGTATACTGGGATCACGTCTGTTGTCTATGTAATATATATAGAAAGTGGGGGAGAAAACCGACGAGCTGTCAGCGAACGAGTACCATTTACATATCTGTGTGTGACAAGTCGGCGCGCCGATTTATAAAACTGTTCATCTGGAAGCTGTTTTCTTACCCTGATAAACTATAATTATAAAGGTGTACACTTCTGGATCGATGAGAATATAATAGTTCGTATAAGTTATAGTAATCGATTTTGATGATAGTGTTTATAATATAATACAAGGGACGTCGTGATGAAATACGACACGAAATGCAGTCTGTGCCAGCGGACAGTTAATCTCTGAACATGATAGTTAGATTGATATCCATGTCATCCTCTAATTGACATGTGATCCTTGGACAACACATCCTTTGGATAGCCACGAGGTGTCCACGTCCAACACGTGACATACCATTCCGATGCAGGCAGGGCAGTCACGCGACATCCCGGCGATACACAAACTAGGGCTTCTAGAACACTAATAGATTTTACTTGAGAAGTCACATGAAGACATTTTAATTGAAATGGATAAAAATTGAAATTAAAACGTTAATGAAATGTTGCGTATTCAATTAAAGAATGAAAGTAGTCTGGCTGTCATTGGGGATAATTGTAGCATGCAGGAGCAGCTTGGCTGGAAGTGGAATGTCAGCCAGCCTGGAGAGATCGATATAGCTGGGGGTGTCATGAAGGCGGGAGTATATAGAGCTTGATGGGACTGGCTCAGAGGTTACACGCCCATGGTTATTTGAAATCGAATATCCTCATGTCTATGAAGACAACTATTTACATTGAGTGAAAATCCATCTCGGTGAGCAACACTCATGTTTATCGTAATATCGGAGATTTAGCGAAGAATTGTGGAATATAACGGATCTTTGAAGAATTAGATAAATTTAACAGAATAGAAAATAATTGTTCCGAAAGTGCATGCTTTTAACAGAGCGCGTTAAATAAGAGAGATGTATTTGATTGGTATTGGCCATGGATATTAAGGATTGAAACCTAAGGTAAAAGATTCTTGTCACTACTTAAGTACCCAGCCTTTTTACTAATTTGATACCCAGGGTCCCAAGGCATTAATCGAAAGCGGAGGCGAGAATCCAACTAGGATAAAAATGCATTTATTAATTCGGTGCCTCTGAAGACTCGGCCCTATAGACTGGTGATGGTGATTGATATTTACTTCGACTTTTGCTCTATGAACCAGGACGAATAAACGGCTGTGGTACCGTTATATAGACACAGAAACGGTTGCGTTACGAGTATAACGAGGAATAGACTGCAGTAGTGCGGTTTGAGGGATAGACAAACGGTACGATGACGGACATACCGTTTCAAAGACCGTTACACTAATGCACTTTGCTATCGGTACTGTAGGCAGAACTTGATGATACTTGCTAACGGCGGGCTGAAACAATCCAGGATGTCAAAGTTGAAAGCAACTTGCAGCAACTATCATTGATTTATCGTTTATGAAATGTTCCAAACAAAACTGATGACAACTAAACTTTGGGATGCGGTCACACAACTGTACGATGGCAGTCAAAATGTTGGATGTTTTCTAAAATAACAAAAAAAAGGAAACAAAGATAGCTACAAATTTAAGTGTTATTAAGTATTCGAAACGAATTTTTTATTTTCTCACCAAGATGAACTCCACGACTGGCGAAGGATTGAATTCTACTGTAATTGACGGAGGACTTCCGAATGTCAGTACGGCAAATATCATCGGGTTCTCTATTGCATTTTTCATCGTAGGTGTTACAGGTATCGTTGGGAATACTCTCGTCATTTACGTCATACTCGCTGACAAGAAGATGAGACAGTCTATGACAAACATGCTCATCATCAATCTTGCGATAGCCGATGGGATAGTTCTGGTTTTTGGGATACCGGAAATAGTACAATTTTTGCTAAATCGAGGCTGGATACTTGGCGAAGTGATGTGCCGACTGGAGAGAACTTTCCTGGTCGTAGGGCTATATGTGTCCGTAATGACACTAGTTTCACTTTGTATTGAAAGGTAAGTTATCCTTTTTTTTATTGGCAATAGCTTTGATCAATCATTTTTGAAAAGTAAAAGTATACCATGTAGGACTTTAATAAAACATAATGGATAAGAAATAAGCAAAATATAATCAACAAATTTGTTCTGAGTGTATAATGTTCTGCGGGGTCAGACCGGGGTTCGACCCATGGGCTTCAGATTATTCTGTCATCGCTGAAACCGATTAAGTTACCTCGACAATGGAAGTGTGCGAGCCCAAATGTGCTGCCTTTAGTTAAAGGGATTTTAGTGTAACAAGAAAAAACGACAGTGCAGTGGGACAGGGATCGTTGATTTTAAACAAAAATCATACATTGATGTTTGATACCACAAAAACAAAAAAAAAACAAAAAAAATTGTTTCATGAATTGATCTTTAATACAAAAAAAAATATAGAAGTTTAATTGCTACCCGATATGAACATATTGGAAATAAAGTTAAAAGAATACACACGGACATTTGTGAATAAAATTCAATTTCTATACAACATTTCAAGTCACCTTCTTAATTTTATATGTTTAATCATTTGCCGACATGATATAAAATATAAACTTTATGTAGCTTGAATATCATAACAAAGCTACTTTATGAGAGTGCATTACGACTCCATGAACATTATTATTTTTTTATTCGGTTTGCGCCCTATGTCTTCTTCCGTGATAACAATTTAATAGCTAAAATACCATACTTCTGTAACTACTACTCCGACTTTATGAATCGATTTAGGTGTAAATGATTTGGTTATATATGAAGCTTTTAGAATAATCTTTCTATTGATATTGTCGTTATTATGATTGCCACGATACACACAATGGAATTACGTCACAGTTAGGCGAAGCCGCTAATTACAGATTATCATATGACAATTTCAACCCGAGGCCCCAGTATCAGCTTGTGAAGCTGGAGGTTTAGGGGCCCACAGGCTGTATGCATGTTTTAAACTTCATTTATTTAACAACTATGAAACAAGTTATTCTAAATTATATAATTCACTCTTGTTAACCCGGATGTTAGCGCGCGTGGGGTCTTGATGTGGGAGAAAACCCGGAGTAACCGGAGAAAACCCACGTGGGTGACCCCAACCTTTTTACGACCAATCGGGGAGTCGAACACCGGCCGCCTTGGTGAAAGGCAAGTGCGCTATCCACTGCACCACCAGACCACTCTTTATATATGTAATAAAACAGGTCGACAAAATAAACGGTTATTATTTTAGATTGCTAGTGACATTATATCTAAGATAAGTGATGATGTTATGTCTTAGATCACTGTGATCTTTTGTTTTAGATTAATGTTGATCTTATACAAATGTATCTAAGATCGCTGATGGCGGTGTCTTAGATAAATGATGACCTTGCGTGTAAGATCGCTGATGATCTCGTCTCTTAGACCGCTCTTGACCTTATGTGTTTGATCGCTTGTGGCCTTATATCTTATATCACTGCGATTTTATGTCTTAGGTCAATGTTGATATTATGTCTCAGATCGCTGGTGGCCTTATGCCTTAGATTACAAATGGGTTTATATTTAAGATCGCTGATGACTTCATGTTTAAGATCGCCGTTAACCTTATACCGTGACCCTGCAGGTAGGGCGTAAGAATTGTACCTGCTGCCCCAATTGCATGATCGTAAGAGGCGACAAAATTTGGGATCTTAACTTGTTTTTCTTCTTTCTAAACAGCTTTCTTCCTCCTAATGTCTCCCTTGACAATGCCTCACTTTTGGCCTTTAGTTGAGCGTTCGCCCCAGTGAGGAAGGCTTTGGGTTCTGTCCCCTGGCCGAGACATACCAGAGTCTGTAAAAATGGTAGTTTCTACTCCTGCTTAACGCTCAGCAATTTAGGTGAGGAACGATTGGTTCGCCCGTAATCAGTATAATGTGACCGGGTGGGTGTCTTCGGCAGAATGTTTCAGTGAGGTAGCATTATAAAGTCGGCATCAGTTCCGCACTATCACAGGTAGTAAAACACGAAAATAACGCAGCCTCCCAAAACACAGACGCATACACTATGCACACAGGGGAGGCCGTCCTCACCAATGACCATAGCTGTTGATAGGACGTTAAACAATACTAAACCAAAACCAAACCAACCCTTATATCTTAGAACACTGGTGACGTTTTGTCCAAGACCGCTGGCGACCTCATATCTTAGACCGCTGCGCTTATGTCTTAGGTCGTTTGTGGATTTACGTCTTAGATCGCTGTAGATCTTACACCTAAAGGTCGCTGATAACGTCATGTCTCTGATCACTTCTGACCTACGTCTTAGATAGCTATTGATCTCACACCTAAAGGTCGCTGATAACGTTATGTCTCTGATCAATTCTGACCTACTGTCTTAGATCGCTGTGGATCTCACACCTAAAGGTCACTGATAACGTCATGTCTCTGATCACTTCTAGCCTACTGTCTTAGATCGCTGTTGATCTTACACCTAAAGGTCGCCGATAACGTTATGTCTCTGATCACTTCTAACCTACTGTCTTAGATTGCTTGTATATAAGATCGCCGTTGACCTTATGTCTTAGAACGCTGGTGTCGTTTTGTCTTAGGTCGCTGCTTACATTATGTCTTAGATCAATTGTGGCCTTATATCTTGATACAATAGCTGGTAACGTTATGTGTTATATCGCTGGGGACCTAACGTCTTATACTGCTACTTACCTTTTGTCTTAAACTGCTGTTGATCTCTAAGATAGTTGGTCACGTTATGTCTTCGGTCGCCGGAGAACTGTTGTCCTAAATCGCTAATGAAGTTATATCTTAAATCTCTGGTGATGTTTTGTCTTAGAATCCTTGCGACCTTACGTCCGTTTTGAATCTTATGTTCTTATTTCTTTAGAACGCTTGCGACGCTATGTCTTCGGTAGCTGGTGACGTTATGTCTTAAAAGTCGCTGGTGACCTTTTGTTGTAATTTGCTGTTGATCTTATATCTAAATTAAATGATTACCTTATGTTTTATTTTACTGTTTATGTATCAGGTCACAACAATACATTATGAATAAAACGCGTACTCAATTCATATCATCTTAAAAACATTGATAAGCTGATATCTTAAAAAAGTTATTTTTATGATGAGCAGCTTCGTAACAACGAACATTAGTTTACACGTATAATTAATTCGGAAGTATTTCTACCGAACGGCCAGGTGATATTTCAATGAAATAAATATTTATAGCGCACCAAACGTTCTGAAGACACAGTTGACTTTGACATATATACGCAATCAATTACCTATATGTATGCTTGACTAATCTGAAAATTCCTCAGATTACACCAATAACCAGCTAGAATCGACGATGTAAAGGACATGAATATTTGAATATGCAAGAAGTATTGAAGAGGAATTATTCAATCAGCGGATATATATCATGGATTTCTCTAGCTTCTATCACTAGTCTTACGTGTATGCTCGTATTATTATTCTGGCAGAGTTACCTCCCTTCGTTATCTACTTTCGATGTACATATATTGCCGCTTTAGCTTGACTGACAAAGAGGACGGGTAATGCTCTGTCGGTAGATCTTATCGCTATAGTCTGATTCACAAAAAGGATCGAGAATGTAACCATTTAATGAGTTGCAAACAGCTGTGGAAGAAAATAGTATTGAATAGCCGATAGATAAATGGTACCTAGTACTAAAAGGCTAATGTAGTTGTTACTTTAGCAAGTCTAAGACTGTTTGTACATTTTACAACATTTTCTAATTTCACCAACATAACCTGCTGTTGTTAATCCAGTGTAACCTATCAATGTACTTTATGCGAGTAATCAATGTATTTTATGCGAGTAATCAATGTATTTTATGCGAGTAATCAATGTATTTTATGCGAGTAATGACATGAATGTGTGTAAGTATATGGTTTGTTTATCATTGAGCGAGGGTAACAGTTCTTTAAACTTCAATTAATTCAATAAATATTATTCAAAAAAATATTCAAACTGTTGATTAGTAAAATATGTATCAACTGTCCAACATAACCCCTATGTTAAACATTTACTGTACTATTTTGATATCACATGCTGTAACCAGAATTGGAGAAGACTTCATAGGCTCCAACCTGTTGTGGAAAACAATAAAATATCTTGAATTGAACAAGTAAAGGGTACTGAGAAGTTTTATATTGTTAATGTTCGCATAGTCACCATTCTGAAATAAAATTTGGAGGAGTTCCATGAAATTCAGATTCTATAGAGTTCTACAGAATTATAGTATATATGTAGTTCGGAATTTGAAAATACAAACATAAACAGTAGAACTAGGGACGAAACTGCTATATCCAGTAACACCTCTCAAGATCTCCTGTGGGATAGATTGGAATTTTGTACCGTATCTAGAGTATGGGCCAAGTCGATGCAAGATTTTACAGAACACTAGATCTTCTCCAAGGCAAGAAAGCATCCAATTACAACTCATAATCCCTGGAATATTTCTCCAGGTAACGGAACAGTCGCTGTAGTAGACCTATAGTACTGGGAGGAAACTAATGCCACTAACGTCTCGCCTAGCGGGACCGACCTTGTACAGTCACTGTACGCATAATATAGCATTTTTTTAAAAGTAATTTTGCTGATTTGTCTACTTACACTGAGTTATTACACAACTGGGGTACACTTGTCACAAAACAGGTACTCACGATATGTGGATGCAGCAAATTGCTGGTCATTATGCTTGGCGATGCCGATAGCTGACGACATGTGACAGTAGTAGACGAGTATTTAACCCGTGCTTGACCTATCTTAGAAAATCAACAGTCGACTTGAAGACGGCATATTATAAACGGAAATAAAGTTGTGGTTTTGTTTGCGAAAGTATTTAAGGTAGGGAATGTCGCTGTTCAATCTTAGGTCATTATGCTGAAATAAATTAAATAATCAGAACGTTGCAAATTTTAAAGCGGGTACAGTTAAAAGAAGTCCTCACAGATCTAGCAAAATGCTCAGGTAATTGGTTAAAAAAGTCGTAGATTG